CATGAAAACATCGGAACACTGATGTCCGGCGCGTCTCAGGAACATGGATAACTGTCTTGGTTCCCGCAACGAATTGAATCAGAAGATATTATAAGAGGAGAAGAAAAAAAACGATAGTTTCTAGTGAGTCCTCGGTGAATTACTGCAGGAGATAGAATTAATTAAGCCTAAAGGCACAAAAAGAGACTGTGACAACTGGGTAAAGCCAAAGCTTATTAAAGCTTTAACGATGATCGTGCAGCAGCTAGTCATTGGTTTTGAGAATAATAATCTCGACCAATGACGGGCGGGAATGAGATCGAGCCCACATCGAAAGTTAAAATTGACAGCTACAGAATATCCGACCACCACAGATGGGGCCCAATAGGGTTGATCCGCTGAGCCGCGGAAGCCTTAACGGGTTGCCGGCGCTCCGGTTCGAAGTACAGGAGTAGGAACGGGGTGGTTGTTAGTCAGTAAGAGTCTTAAGACTTCCTCTTGTCTCCCTAGCGTGATGGACTGGATGATTTCCCCTAAAAAAACCAGTCGTTACTATGGTAACCCTAAACCTGTAAAAGACTACGATCTCTCATACTGACATGGACAAGCACGTTAAAAATAAGGCGGGCGTAATGTCACTTGGAAATGATAGAAGCAACAAAATGTCAGTGGTTTATTTATGTGTATTTGCAACACAGTAATGTATGAAGTGTAGTGACGGGCCATGTCACGCGACAGATGTCCTTCGTGTCAATGTGTGTGTATTCTGCGTGTAAGTGTATAGTAGCCAGGTGCCACAGTCGTTATTTCAAGAGACTATGTCCGCCTTTTTTCAAAGTCCTTAGACACGTGCTGGTGATGTGGTGTGACTTTGGCTGATTGCAAATTATTTTGCAAAAAAAAACACAATCGTGATTAGATTAAGTCCAGTGATAAATGTTATTTGCGCTTTAAAGTAGTAATTTAAATATTTTGGACTTTTGTATATACATGTCCTTGAAAACATCGATTACCTAGCGAAAGATAATGAAGAATGCATTTTTTTAATAAATTGATTATAGGTAATGTGTAATCATAGTAGTGTAGGCAGCTTTACAACATTCACATATTTTTCGATATGAATAAGATACTATGATATATATTTGACGGAAAAAAAACTACTTACACTTACTTACTCACACCTCGCAAACAACAATAATAATTATAAAGTGTTTAAAAACTGATAAAAAGAGCGGCCTTGGAAGTTCTTGCTCGTTCTTCTCCATACAATATACACTTTGGAACGAGAAAAAAGCATCATGAGGGGACTGACCGACAGACTCACACTTTTTTAAATCTGAAAAACATTTTTTTGACATTCAAAACTGCCTGATATTTGTTTACTAAAAACAAATGATTTGATTTTTGTGAAAAATGCATAGAACACTGTGATTTTCAAAATAATTATTGTTTTTGACTAGTTGGAAACTGCGGTGGGTCAACCCTATCCTTTTCTATCAAATTTCTGTATTACATCTTCAACTTTATTGCTTGTACATAAAGTCGAAAATAAAAAAAATGGGGTAGGTTGATCTGATGGCGACTGTACCCTATTCTATATAGAGGTATTAGTTTTTATGAATAAGAGTTTAAGGACCAAAATATGGATGTGATAGTTTCTTATCCAAAAGTAAATGTAGACGTCCTGTTTTGTGTCCACCACGAGTCGAACATTCAAGCTACCGAAAGTCAATATTTAATTACTATTTTTAGACATTTTATCGTTTTTTTGTGTCCATAAGGGTCAGGGTTAGTAGATGGCATTTGTTTACTATACCGGGTTTTAATAGGAGGGATATATGTTTATCTTCTGTCTGACTGCCTCGTTGGCCGAGTGGTCGCAAGGGGTCTCGGGTTCGATTACCGGGTCGGGCAAAGTATTACTGGGTTTTTAAAAATCTCATTAGTAGCACGGAGTCTGAAATTGGTATATGGCAATAGTCTCACGCCTTATTACAAGGGACTCATAACATAAAGAGTGAAAAGTGGGTGTTACATTGTACAGTGGCATTAAATGCCGTAATGTGCACCTCTGCCTTACCCCTTCGGGGATAAAAAGGCGTGATGTTATGTTGTGTTATGTTATATGTATATCTTTTTTTTATTAATCCCCTTAAGGTGGACACATGACAGTGTCATAAAGATTTATATAAGATATAGACAGTATACTTTAAGCTACATTATATTTTGCACTCTGTCATCCGCCTTTTTGTCCATATTGTGAACGGTAGATCTGTCTATATTTAAACGCTTCGCTGAACTTTTAAATTTTGACTTTGTGCAAAGAAACATCACTCACACGGATAAATATACGTGTGTGTATAAGTGCTGCAGCGCAAACGATAGTAGTCATTACGGTGGCAGTCGACTCTAATGTTTGACTGTACAGGATGAAATAATATATTTACCTATATCATAGAAATAATAGAAATATTAAGATTCTTCTTTATTATATCTATGATCTTTAAGATTATTTCAGGATTTGTTTTACATGTAAAAATAAATTGATTGAAAACATTTTCATAGAATAGAAAGCAAAGTTTGGAGCTTTGTTTTCTTTAAGGGGGGGAATCATCCAATGACTTCTCTTGCCCGGGTGAGGCGAGAAGGAGCATCGGAGATGGAGAGGTTAATTTACTAAAGTAAAGAGAAAATCTAGTTCATAGTTAAAAGTAATTGTTATACAATCTTATTAAACTAGTACCAATGAAAAAGAAATAATGAAACTATGCTAAGGTTAAACGGTCGAAATGATAAGTTACGTGTTAACAAAATATGATAAAATTTAACAATGTCTGTTAGCTTTTGTAATATTTTTAACAAGTTATCATGCCTTTTGTTGTGATTTTACTATTGCAAATAAGTGTATTACTTCTGTGGTCTTATCTATATACGGATTAAAAATCAACTTAATTTAGTTAAGCAGTTTAAGAGATAAAATAGCAAGTGTAGTTAATAATTAACCATAATTATTATTACTTATGTGATTTAATATAAGTTTTAAATATATTGTAATGAACTTGTCATTTTTTTAATCAAAAAGCTTGATTATGTTTAATTAAGATTTTGTTAGCTCAACGGTTTGAATGCATATATATGAGACACAATACAAAATACATTGTGTCTCGCATGGGTCCACGTTTACACACGACGGGTTAAACAAAAAAAAAAACAATATTTAGACACATTTACTTTATCCTCGTTTCGGATCGACGAAGGCTTCTTACGTTTCTTTTAGTATATTTCGTACAATCGTACATATTTTTAGCTGGTTGTAAAGTTGTAAATTATTGTAACCTCGGGTGTCTTGATTGCTCTAATTGACGTGATTCCTGTTAATTAATACTTAAAACAAAGCGGCCTAATTGTCAATTGTTTTATTACGTCATTCTAGGCCCCAGTCACATAAAAGCTTGAAACCGCTAATCCATCGGCGATTATTTCATCATTAAGTCCGAAGCTAGTAAAGGGATATCTTAGATAAAATATCAGATTTATTACTCTTAAAACGAAATAAAAAGGAATACAATGTAGTTTGTTAAAAATTGTAACAAACCGAAAAATCTAATCTACTAAATACTTTTTCATTTGATCACGTAATCTTATTTTGATTTTAGATAATTTTAGGTACTTAATAATGTTACTACAGTGAAATTAAACAAAGACTGAGGAGGAAAAATCTGTTAAAAAACTAGATTTTCAGCAACCTTGAGATTTGCAGGCATATAGGTATGGCATCGTACTTGGTCTCTGCTCACGACTGTGTGAGTCAATATACTACAGTCACTTATGTAAACATTATGTAGAGATCATGCTTTTGACAGTTTACAGAGACTGACAACCCTTTTTAACAAATATACGTGCACGAACGAGATACAGTGTTACAGTTTAAAGTTTAATGTACCTAATTAGCATAGAAATATAAATAAATTAATAAAAACTGTTACTTTTATACCATAGCTAGCTGACACGGCAAACTTCGTTCTACCTAGAATTTATTTTTTTCACCTTTTAAACCTTCGCTAGACTTCCACGAACATTTGAAGACCAGAGTTACCTAAATCGGTTCAGCCGTTCTCGAGATCTAGTGAGACTAATGAATGGAAATTCATTTTTATTTATATAGAAATAAAAATGAATAATTTCAAGGATATTTTGCGATTTTTACGCATGACGCATTCATAAGCAATGACAAATTCTTGGAGTACATTTTGACATGAATATTACATATTCAGTCAGTTTTTAGTTAGCTATTTGACAAAAGCTGAATAAATAAATAGTCAACAATAGACCAATGACACAATAATAGGATTCATTGTAGTATGATCCATTTTTAAAATTGGACTTGTGTGACCAATAAAGATCCAAAAAAGTTATGTACTGACAATTTGAAACATAGACACTAAAAAAATGTTGAACTTCGTTTTTAACCGACTTCAAAAAAGGAGGAGGTTCTCAATTCGACCGTATATATGTTTTGTCACTGTAATTATTGAAACTTGGTCACTTTTTGTGTTTACGTCATTATAACAAAGCACTTTCGACCAAATGTTGATCTTTTGGTGTATTATTGTGAAATATGTTCTATAAGATGTTGTTCTAAGAGAATTGTAAGGTATTTTGTTTAATTAAAACACTAATGAGATTTTATTTAATAAAATAGAGGTGTTTCTTTTGTTTTGATTATAACTCTGAGGTTTGCACACTTTGCAGAAAGTATATCAGTTTATTTTTTATTTAGTTATACTTATTTAAAATGAATTTACTAGTTATTTTTTATATCTTCCATAAACCGTCACCGTAGATAATTAAAACGATTAGTAACTTTTATTGTTTTAATTCGACACGTGCACACGTGCGACAAATAGTCGCATTTCACTTTTTTTTACAAAATATTTAGCATTGCAGTTTCAGATTATATAGTTAAAACGTATGTCACGATTGCTTGAATATTACACGCGATAGTAAAATAAGGCACTTACCATAATTTCGAATACGCGCGCTATCCACGTTGTCACAGCAGCGCGGAGACGCGTGTGTCTCTGACAGCGTCTAATACACGACTGGCTGAATGCTGAAGTGAGCTTGAGATAGTGTCAGACGTGCGCTAGCGCAGTGATACTCAAAGTTGTCTGGGCTACGAATCATCTTATACAAGTTCCCAAACTAGGGACTCGCCTTTAGGAATTTCAATCGTTACTAAGTGTGGTTACCAAAATATCTAAATGAAGGACTATTATATGTATATAAAATCTACCTATATCGAACAAAATTCTCCATACATTTGAAATATCTTGGAAACCAAAATAAAACTTTTAATAATAAAACTTTATTCATAATAACAAAAACGCAAAATTCAAAAATATATCTAAATTACGTACAATTGACCTCAAATAGTTAGATGACAACTATTTGAGGTCAATTGACCTCAAACAACCGTTTTGGAGCAGTTTTCAGTTTTTATCATCTCCTCTAAGCTCCCAATAACCATTTCGGTACTTTTTGTAGTCGAGGGTTCAACCCCCGAATTAATTTCCACCCCTAAAGTTACTTTGGACCAAAATGTATATACATTTTATAAAAATAATAAGCAAAGTGAGTTCAACATCACGTTCCGCGCTGCAATTTGTTTAAGGCTTGGAGCTTCATTTTGTTCACCTCATCGTTGTCGTTGTGGTGAAGTTGTCAACAGCCTTGGACACCACGGCTTGTCATGTAGCCGTAGTGCGGGCCGTTTTGCTCGACACGCAAGTATTAATGACATAATTCGTCGAGCTCTTGCCTCCGTTGGCGTGCCAGCTACTTTAGAACCTAATGGCTTGGTACGCGACGATGGCAAGAGACCCGACGGTATGTCATTATTCCCTTGGAAGATGGGTAGGGCTTTAGTATGGGATGCCACTTGCGTTGATACTCTGGCGCCATCCCATCTTCCAAGCTCAGCGTGTCGAGCCGGTGTTGCCGCTGCCGCTGCCGAGAACCTCAAACGGCGAAAGTATAATAGCCTGATTGGCAATTATGCTTTCGAACCGTTTGGGGTTGAAACTTTAGGGCCGTGGGGCCCAAGTGCACATCTTCTTTACAAAGATATTGTAAGGAGGATGGTTGACACTTCAGGTGATCGAAGGGCTGGCTACTACCTTGGGCAAAGGTTAAGCATTGCCATTCAACGTGGCAATGCTGCCAGTCTTTTGGGCACCCTACCTCACGGTAGCGATGAGGAAAATATTTTCTTTGATGCCTTATAATTTTTTTTTTCATTATTATTATTTTTTCATTAGGTATTATTATTTTTTCATTATTATTATTTTTTCATTACTATTCAATTTAAGTGTAAATAAATATTTTTCTAAGATTTGAATATAACACTTTTAAGAATGTTAATAGCAAAGTGTAAGTACAGTTTTTTATTGCGTAATTATATTAATACTTACATTAAAAACAATCGCTATTACAGTTTTAACATCAACTTCAGCTCGAACTTTACTTTTAATAGCAGTGAGTTTGGTACGTCGATTGTAGACCCACCACTGGGTCACGCCCCAAAGTTTGGGAAACCCTGCGCTAGCGCATTTCCATTGACAATAATGATTACTTACCTGTTACAACATTTTACGAGCAATTACCGGCATGAAAAGGTGTTTTTTCTTTAAGGGAGAAAAATCATCCAATGTCTTCTCCCGCCTGGGTGAGGCGAGAGGGAGTGTCAGACTCTTACTGACTAAAAACCACCCCGTTCCTACTCTTGTATTTCGAATTGGAGCCCTAACTAAGAACACTAACCGTGCAGTTAGTACAGCATATTCAGGACTATTCAGGAGAATAATCCACATAGGATAGGTGCCATAATGCTGAAGTTTGGTAGGATAACAACCGAAAAATGATGACGTAATCTTACCAATATGTACTATAAATGCGAAAGTCTGTGAGTTTGTGTGATGGCACACCATCACATCCTTACTTCCTTACTTATTTTGTTTGTTTGTTTGTTCCGCTTTCACGACATAACTACTGAACCGATTGCTTTGAAATTTTGCAGAGGTAAAGTTAGAAGTCTGGATTAAATAATAGGGTACTTTTCATCCCGGAAAAATTTGATATTCCCGAGGGAAAACATAAGCATTGGTATAGATGGCGCTGTGTGTATTGGTATATGTCACGTAGGCTACTTTTTATCCTTTTGTGACGCGAGCGAAGCCGCGGCTAGTCTCTAATAAATTAAAGAACCCCCATGTCACGTAAACCCCTCTTAGACAAAAGGCAGTTCTTCATTTCTAGGCAAAAACGGCCATAGGCAGGTGCCTATGGGTATGTTATAGGGGTATATTATAGGTATAAAACAGAAAAAATATAATTAGACTAGGAATTCCCCTAGTTTTAGATAGGTATTCCAAAACAGTTTAATGATGTGGTCTGGTTTCAGGTCACGTTAGTTCTGATAGCTTATCTGTAGTCAAAAAAAAATACCTTAAATAAGGAAAAAAATTAGACTTTGTGCGTTTTTATACCAATTTAATTTTTAACAATTTTATTGTCAATGCAATGATTACCGTATTATTGCTTTTTTTATGGAATAGGAGGCAAACGAGCAGACGGACCACCTGATGGTAAGCGATCAGCGCCGCCCATGGACACCCGCAACACCAGAGTTGTCACAGGTGCGTTGCCGGCCTTTTAAAAAGGAGTGCGCTCTTTTCTTGAAGGTTTGAAGTTTGCTCACCAGAGAGAGGCCTTAGTGAAACAAGTGAAACAAGTGAAACAAGTGAAACAAGTGAAACAAGTGAAACAAGTGAATTTATTTCTGCAAATAGGCTACAAGGCAGCACTTTTACACGTCAATTTTATCAAGCGAACGATGAGGTCGACATTTCCTAACTGACTACTCTGAGAAGAAATGCCGAAACAAACTCAGAGGTCCGTCTCTTTTAAAGTCCAGACTTAGTACGAATTTGTTTTACGTTAAAAGTATTCTAAACTACGTCAACAGTACTACTTTTAACCAACTTTAAAAATAAAACAAGGAACCTCACCTACATTAAATAATTGCATTAGACAACTCTCAACAATGCTCTCAACAGAGGGTTTACCCATCTGCGTAATTAGAAATCTACCAAAAGACATTTAAGTCTCTTGAATATACATATCTATACTGTTCTAAATTATTTAAATATCTGAACAACACAACCGTAATACGTAGTTTTTATTACCTACACAAGAATTAGAATTAAGAAAAATATCCGAACAAGGCTATATATTCAAACATCAGTCGTACATAGTACGGTTTTTCTAGTAACTATTTTTAGTTTCCAAAACTGTCACCTAGCTCTAGCGTACGTCTATACATGCAGAGGTAGCGTATAGACGCGGGATTTATTTCTGTCATGTCAATCCGCAGAGTGGCGGGTGAATGATCGTTGCGATCGCAAAAAAGCTAGTAGACACGTGATTTTCCGACCATACGTCGGTTTTATCCGATATAGAGGTATTATTGCAAATCTTTTGATTTAGGCTTTATTGTTTCCTATATGATCTAAGTCTAAACTATGGGTCAATGTGGCTTAAGTGTGGGCGGGTCATGCTTCGGCACGAATGGGTCGGCTCGACCGGAGTGATACCACCGAAAACCGACATGAAACAACACTTGCGTTGTGTTTCGTCATGTGAGTGAGGTTACTGGAGGCCCAGACCCCTCTCCCCAATTCTCCAATACCTAAATCCCCAATAATCTTCAAATTCCTAATCCCCAAAAGGCCAGTAACGCACTTGTAACACCTCAGGTGTTTCAAGTGTCCACGGGCGACGGCACTTGCTTACCATCAGTAGGCTCGGTTACCGGGTTATTCCATAAAAAAAATTGAAAGCTGTATTTCAATTCTATATTCAAGTGTTGTATATATTTCCAGTAGTTGTACGTTCTTCGCCTGTCTCACAGAGCCATCAGACCACGACAGATGAAGCCCAGTAGGTCCGATGCCCGATCCGGAACGGACGACCGGAGCTTCGGCTCTTAGCAGGAGTAGCAATGGGATGGTTTTAAGTCAATGAGAGTCTGACATGATTTCCCCTCTTAAAAAAACCTCGCCACCATCTCCAATCCCCAAAAGGCAGAACACAGACTCATAACTCCTGTGCTAATGTTCCGTTTATGAGTCTCTCCGCCCGCTCATTTTCTGGTCTATCTCATAAAATCGATTTTCTTCTATGAAAAACAAATAAAATAATTGGTGATGGTTTTCTAAGTTTATAATTTGATTACCCGCCTTTTCTATTATTGTTTTCGTCCAATGTTTTCGTTTCACGGATGATATACATTTATAATTGAGATCAAGGCCATTCACTGTAGACGCGTCTGAACGGGCGGTGCGACAATAAAATAAATCTCGTCACCTATTTGTTTGTAATTGTGGATATTTTTGATGACCTTGTTAAATTTACACGAAAAATAAGACGTGTGTTTGATTGCACGGATGGTGCAGAGGCTGGGCGTGGTCGGCGTAGAGTTTATTTAAGTTCAAAGTTACGATAAGTTAAGACAGTCAAGAAACAAAAACCATTTTACTGTAATCTGAAAAAAAAAAAATTTGAAATAAAAAATAAACGTAACAACATCACGCGTTTTTATCCCCGAAGGGGTAGCAGGCAGAGATGCACATTACGGCACTTAATGCCACTGTGCAATGTAGCATCCACTTTTCACGGTTTATGTTATGAGTCCTATGTAATAGGGAGTGAGCCTACTGCCATATACCATATACTGCCATATACACAGTTCCAGACTCAGTGCTACTAGTCAGTTGTTTTTAAAAACCCATTTATAGGTATTTTGCCCGACCGTGAATTTAACCCGAGACCCCTTGCCCAGCAGTCGCTACTTGGCCACCGAGCCAGTCCCCACAACAAAAATGAAGTACAAATAATAATAATAAAGAAGTTATTAACGCGGTTTGTAACATTTTTATCTTTAAACAATACTATCTGAAATTGA